GGATTTAGCTTGTAGTGATAATCAAGTTGTATAATGTCATGTGGTTTAGTTTATAGTTTATCGTCATTATTATATAAAAAAATTCTAATAATCTGTAATTAAAAAATAAAAATAAAAATATAGAGAGATATCGCCCTTAAATTAGTTTTAATATATAGTGATTTAATCCTTTAAAGAAAAACAGATTTGATTCCATTCTATGGTCAGAAAGTGCGAACCCTACGAATACAAATGTTTTGACAGGTTGGATTTTGACTGTTTCCCATTTTTCGATTCAGCAATCGAAGATGAACTTTAGAATCTCAATTTGGATTATCATGAAGACCAAATTCTCCGAGGGGATGGTTTCAACTTCACCGATCTGACGTAAAAGTAAAAAAAAGAAAAGAAAAGAAAAGAAAAAAAGTCTTAAAATTCAGTAAAACTGAAGGATTTTTTAAACTTCACCCTTAGAGCTGAACTCAATTCTTTATAAATAAAAAGTTTTAATAAAAAAATTACATATTTATAATATTAAAATTATAAAAATATAATAAATATTTTTTTAAAAATAAAATTTTACTATTATTAATTATTTATTTTTATCAAAAAATCAACATTAATATTTTTTAACTTTTAAAATGGAGTCATTGTGACTGTGGAATCAATCCATCTGCCTATAGTAAAGATATAGACGAAATTCAGAAAACTAAAACATCAGACTGGGGTGAGAGAGGCTCGAACTGTCGACCTCAGGATAACTCAGAAGCTATGAGACCTACGCGCTAGCCAACTGCGCCACCACCCAATGTTATTGTGTGGTCATATATTGTATGTTTTGTCAGTGGCTAAATTGGACAGCAAATGGGACCCTTGTTTAAGCCCAAGCACAATGTGAAGCAGGCCCTGCAATCTTTTGTTTTCATTGAGGGGAAGGGGCATCAGAAAAACACCTGTTCGGTCGCTGTATGGGCCATCTTCTGATTCTTCTCTTCTAACTTCATAAATCATATATCAAATTGGCTTATTTTTGGGGACCAAAAATAATATGGGTTACTTTGTATTGGACTTGTAAATTTGAAGTTACTTCTAAATTCTAAGTTCCGTTTAACTTCACAAAAATACTTAATTGAGTTTGTTTTGGCATAGCCACTAACAAGAGCACTTGACCATGTTATGCATTTTTTAAATTTTGGTCCTAGTCATAATATAACAATCTTACTCTAACCCAAAAACAGTAACTGAAAAAGAGCAACCGCAGTACAAAAAAGAAAATATTTTACTTGGGACTGTTTAATCTGAAAAAAAATATTGTTTTTAATTATTTTTTACTGATAATTTCAAAATACCATCTTACTTTCATTTTATTTTCTACTTTTAAAAATTTGTGTAGAAAACATTATGAAAATACTAACATGTTATTTTCATCATTTACAGAACTGATTCTTAAAAGCAGAAAATTTTAAAAAATTATGATTAATATATATTTTCCCGAATTAATCATTCACTCAAAAGTTAATACGGGTATGGGACACTAAAATCTGACTTCAGAGTCAAATGATCATCCCGTTCTTTCGTATTTCTTTTGCATTCTCAAATAATGTGTAACAACATAACTATAAATCACATCTTTATTAGAGTTCAATGCAAAACCCGTGAAACCAAGAACTAACAAATTTATTTATTTATTATTTTGATCACCTATCTAGTGACGCGTTGGGCAAGCTTCAACCTCCATTCTACCAATTTTCAAAGCTCCAAAACGGAATATTTTCAAAGAAAGTAAAAGTTCAATTTTTTGTCAATTTGATAGCTTCTCTGAGAATGATAATTCATTTATGATTACATCAGCTCATACTCTGCGAGGAACAACTGTATATCAGTATATTTGGAAGTTAATGACATTTTCTTTTCTTCCTTTTCCTTTTATGGCTAGAAAGGTAGTACATGACCCCTTGGTGACTAGGACTCCTATCCGGTCTCACATTAGAGGGCCATTGAGATATCTGTGAGGTGGTAACGTGGATGATGTTTCAATAATTCATGCTTTCATTTATTTCCTTTTACTTTTGGTCTGCCAAAAGAACTAGGAAATTGTTTAGAATCGTTTTATAATGGCCAAGAATAATAAGTTCCACTTCTTCATTTTGGATAATTGACCCTATATAGCTCCTGTAAATTTTATTGTTCATAGGTATATGCCGTTGAGGCACCATCATATATATAGATTTTATGCTCCTACTATTCATTTAAGTGACATTGAGATGTTAATGCTGAAGCACTGTAGAAGTCACTTTATATTATAATTGAGTTATGCATCAAATGACAAATTTGTAGTAGTTATGTTATTTGAATAACTAAAAAATGATACTATATATAAAATTACAAATAGTTTTTTACTCAAAGTTGTTCAAAGAAATATTATTGATGAATTCAATATGACTCCCCAATACATAATCCTCTATATTTGTTGTCTACAGTTTCAATGATGGAAAAGACAACCCCAGTTGCTAGGGGCACTAACTTCTCACCCTCAAACGCTTACTGATCAAAACAGATTCACCTGTCTCCTCTATCTAGCTGAATCTCATGGCAAAATTTGTCAATAGGTATAATCAATTTTTAGACATTATTACGGAAGATTCTTTCTTTAGCTGATTAGATTGCGAAAGGTCTTTATCTTAGTTTGTGACAAAAAGGTAACGATGTTGTTTGAATCCCATTAGCCAAAACGACAGTGAAAAGGGAGAGAAGAATTGAAAAAAATAAGGCCAGTTGACAATTGTAGTCATTTGTATTATAAAGAGATAAGATACTGTTCATATGAAATGGAAAGGGTTTCACTTTCTGCACCTTTTATTTATGAGATGGATGGAGTCAATGGCCAAAAGAAGAAACCATAATGTGGAACTAAGGAAATGAAACATGACACCCCAAATAGGAAGTCTATAAGGAAGAATTGAAGAATATATGAAGGGGGTGATTTATATGGTGAAAGCTTAAACAAGTGTTTGCATTGCAAGGCTTAAATGAACATTGATTGGTGAGTATTGGTTGATGAAGGGCAGGTTGGGGGGGTCATATATGTATATAAATAATGTGAATGTTCGTCCCAAAATCCCTTGAGTAGATGGAAATCCAGCTCATAGTATTTCAACATTGATAGGACCCCACGTGGAGAGGACTGCCAGTTCACGGACTCGTTTGTTTTGCAGAGTTATTTTAACATAAAAACCACAAGGTCCTTATAGCTGTCTCCTCGTCCCTAACGCTGGCAACAAGTTACATAATGACTTCTCTCTTGCTTGTGGGGGTGTGTGCGTGTTCTCTTGCTTCGCTCACTAGCAAAATGTCATTTACGAAAAACTATATATGATCATTAAGGCCTTCCTCTACTACAATAAGGGAGTGCCAAGCATGTATCATCCAACTAATACTTTAGGCAGAATAATTAAATAAATTTCTCCTTAGATAATAGTCTTATTCATTTGGTGGCTGGAGAGGTGACTTTGTGCTTCTCATTCTTGGTGCCTTGTGGACAAGATAATGGTCTACCATTAGTAATAAAATAAGTGGGATATTAGCTTCATATTGCTAATGATGCGATTCGAGGGAATGATACGATGGAGATGGATATATATATATATATATATATATATATATATATATATATTCTAGAACAGTCTTTATTTTTGTTTTCATCGTAGCCGCATAATGGCTTCCTTGAACATGACTCCCTATGCTGCACTAAAATAAACTCAAGTTTCAACCAAAAATTAAATATTTTTTAAAGTATATACTTTTTTTTTCAAACCTAACTGTAACTAACCCATTCTTTTTGGTTGATTTGCTTTGTAATAGCTTATGATTAGCGGATTCGGGGTCATGTGGGATATACTTTGGTCCCAACATAAAGAAAAAAAGGTGCAACCATGATTGGTCCAGTTAATTACCCCAGCACATGATCTATGATCAAATATAATTAACCAACAAAAGGCAAGGTAGAGGAGTTGAAATTGAAAATTAAATTATATTGTTTTTACTTTGTACATTAATAATAACATATACGCATAACTTTCGCTGCAACAAACACCTTGGAAAAAGGAAGCGGACTGAATAAAAATTTCATCTGGTTCATTCCCTACCTGTAAACCAAAGCTGCCAACGACAGCACGCACCCCTCATATCAATTATACAATTTCTTCTTTTCATGTAAAAAGAACCATCTGATGATCATCGAGGTCCATATCTTTCCTTGTTCGTAAACCAAACATTTTTACAAATACCCTTCTGCAATTAACAAGGATAAACATTTTTTCTTCAAAAATAATTGAAAAATCCTAATTTAAAAATTAGCATGTCCTAGCCTACTATATATAATGTATATGCAAGTGCCAGTGGCTATGTAATGTAACCGAAGAAGAACACAAGGTCAATGAAATACTAGTTTAAGTCAAAACTTAGAATTGATTGGATGGTGCGATAGTATATTAATGCAGAGACAGAGAGGAAACAACTTCAAGTGAGATAGTAACGCAGCTGTCACTTGTGATATACTACTACAAAGCACACACCCACTCTTCCTTCTCTCTTTGGCCAGCAAATTAGAGTTTGCAGCTGTCAGATTTCTTTCTCTCTCCTCCACCACCCTTTTTCTCCCTCTCTTTTTCTTTTTAATTACATTTTTTATAAGATAACTTTTTTTTTTCTTTTCATATATTTTTTGTTGTAATTAACCAACTCCTCTGTCACAAACAACCATCAAATAATAACGATACCACATCATCATAAACCATACCCACCACCCCTTTTCCCCTGAGACTCTCTTCAAATTCAATGATTCTTCTGTGGTGAGAACAAGAAGGGGCGTTGTTGAATGGTGGGGGAGGAAAGGCACGCACGCACGCACACACACAGAGAGAACATAAACGAGAAGAAGAAGAAAAGAAAGGAACTTTGATGGGAGAGAAGATAACAAGAAATGAGAAAAAGCAAAGAGCTTAATTATTAGCTTTCATGCATAAACAAGAACACCCTTTTCTTCCTTTGATGCCATGGCTTACCCACATTACCGATCACAGTTCGGAGACACAACGTTCACGAAGGTGTTTGTTGGAGGACTAGCTTGGGAGACTCCAACTGAAGAAATGCGCAAATATTTTGAACAGTTTGGTGACATTCTTGAAGCTGTCATTATCACTGATAAGAACACAGGAAAATCTAAAGGCTACGGATTCGTATGTTTCTCTCTCTCTCTCTCTCTCTCTCTCACTATGCCTTAAAGTCCAAGCTTGATTCTATTTCACTGCAAAGTGTGTTGTTTGATTTGATTCTTATTATATACAAATTACGTGTCCTATGTCCTATATATATGTGTGTGTACACAATGAGCAGGTAACATTCCGTGATCCAGAATCAGCTAGAAGAGCATGTGCTGATCCAAACCCAGTGATTGATGGAAGAAGAGCAAATTGTAACATTGCTTCTCTTGGAAGGCCTAGACCATCACCACCCAGAGGTTAATTTTACATGTTTTTTATTTATTTTATTTTATTTCATTTACTATATCTTACAATGTTATAAACTCAATCATTATTATCATTATGTTATATATAGGACACAATGTAGTTTTTTATTAATCCCTTGATCAAATTTACAACTTTTGTCATGAAAAATGATGGGCTACTATTATGGGGTGGTGATGCAGGAAGGGGTACATTCCAAAGTGGGGTGGGGACAGGAGCACCAGGAACGGCGTCGTACAGTGGCGTGCCGGCGGGAGGAGCGCCGCCGTTGCCACCGCCACCGCCGGTATTGTACCCTCCATATGGGTGAGTTAGCTTTGTTCATTTACTGTGGCCATTTATTACCCATGTCTGTGACTCACAGTCAAAGGAACTGGTCCATGCTATTAATTGAGAACTGCAATAGACGCACACATTGCTGTCTACATATGTCGCTTGACTGCTTCCCTCCAATTACAGTAGGTCTTGGTGTCAGCGTGAAAATCCTCACATATCATATCAATATTTAAATCTACTACATTTTCCCTTCTCTTCAACAACCATCATGTGCATTTCCACCCTCTACTTTCCTTCTCCTTAATTCTTAAATCTTAATCACCCTCATTAACCTTAATGTCATAATGTGTTACATTTGTTATTGAATCTTGAAACTTTAAAGAACAAAATCATGTAGTACTTTTAAATTATAAACCTAAATTTTATGTAGAGTTTATATGCCACATTTATCCAGTAGAGATGGGGTGGTAAGTTAAGGTGTATGAATGACATTGTTGAATTATAAATGTAATAAATTAAAGGTGGTCTAAGAAGATAGGGTACATATAGATTTAACCTTTCGATGAGAAACATTACTTTTGTAACTTATGTTATTGATATATACATCTATGGTAATAGTAGAAACGCTGGTGATAACAGGTACAGATCAATAGATATGTAATCCGTGGCAATGCATCTACATATTTATGTGTCATAGTGGTCCTGGGTCAATAAATTTGATTTATAATCTTGTACATAATAAAATCCCTCAGCTCGGTACTTTTGCATGTCCTGTACCATCAAGTCATTTTCTCACCAGCAATGTTATTGTTGTCTTATGAGAAGAACTCTGTATATTAGTTGGTAATTTAAAAACTACCCTTTAAAAGAAAATGATGAACAAAAACAAAAGGTATACAAAATTAGTATATAAAATTCCTGAGGGATGTAGAAGCATAGTATATAAAATTCAGTTTTGTGTACTAAACTGCAGAAAGCTAACACAAAAAGTGTAGAAAATAACGCCGTTACAGCTCGTGTCCTTTATTCTTTTTCTCAGGTGTATCAACCTCATCCTTTTCTATTTTCAAACAAAATAACATATTTTTTTATAGTTCGTTACGGTTATTACAATGAAAAGTATTAACATTATCCATATCATTTCTCTGATATGATTAAAATATTAAAATTTACTTTATTTACTTTTTCTCTTCTTTATCTTAAAGCAAAGGAAATTATTGCAAAGTCATTGAACTTCTTGAGTCGCCTAGAAACTTCTACAAAGCAAAATTCTTTTTACGTTCTATCAGAATTTTCCTTCCTTAAACTCTACTCTGTCAGTTCCACGAGATAGCATAGTTTATATTTATATGTGCATGCAAAATTTTCCATATCATTGGATACCACCTTGACCATTCTTTACAGTGCTTTATTCCTTCCTTTTTCTGCTTGATGGGGCAGCATGATGTTCATAATGCCTCAACTACAAAAAAGGATGCTATCACTGAAGTGAGTCATAACTAATTCAATCTTAGGGACAATGCACACCATACCATACCATTACACAAAGCAAGCACACGCAATAGCACTAACTCTCATCATACATTGATCAATTTGAGGGTCCCACATGACAACCAATGCCATTGATATTAATGGCTTTTTTTCTCACCGGATTTACCGGGAAAACCTTACAAATTAAGTTCAGTACCAGTCCACAACAATAGAAGTGTTCCATTTTGAGTCATTGCTTCTCAAAGAAACAAACGCACCATTGCATTTAACGTATTTCCTTCCACATTTGCTTAGTGATTAAATTCCATTCAACTCTCTTTGCAGCTACCCTACCTACACCCCTGATTATGGGTACCACCAAGTAAGCATCTCTATCCCTCCAATCAATTAACATGTAATATATATTTTTTTAATGATGTCAGGTTAGTTACTAATAATGGATAACAGTTGGCTAATATTACCTTAATGATTGTGTGTGTATTTGAATGAGCACAGGCCACATTGTATAACCCACAAATTCATCAACCTCAATACTACCAACAACTTTATGGACCATCATCTTCCACCATGGGTTCCCCATATTACTATGGTTATTCTATGCAAGCACCAAGAGGCACATTTTCTACACCCCAAGCACATCGCATACCAGCTGGACCCTCCTATTTATACTACCCTACACCCATGGAAAGCTCCTTCTCTGCATATCGTCCACCTCAATTGCAACAACTAGCAATAAGGCAACCCCCTCCTTCCCCTAGTGGTACATTTTTCTTTCCCCTTCTTTAAATAAATTTAATTTAATTCAATTTTTATGATGTATACAAGGACACGTGTTAAGAAATAACAAAATTTTATTGAAAGCTATAACATTCAATGTCATTAATATTGTGATATCTTATAATTCTAAATAAAAATTTACTACATATGATCTTTTCTTCAATATTCTTACTCTCTAACGTGTGTATATTATATATCTAATTTCACTCAAGTATATGCACAAACACATGCCCACACAGTAGGGAGAGTGTGGTGAAAGAGAGAGGTGCACAGAGATTTATGAATTATGATGCACTTACTGACACACAATATATATTATGATTTGGCTGTAACATGTGGCCATGGGGGTCCACATGGGCAACCCCAACCCCATGTGAATGAGCTGTCTCGGTTGTGCCATGAACCGTATAATGTATGGGTCAATGCGGAAGAAAGTCATGACAGAGGGAGAGAGGGTCATCATGTAAAGTAACAGTGAATGCATGTGGTTTCAGTAGGAAAAAATATATGTTGTGGTGGTTAAATTCTTTAAAGAAGCAGTCAAATGCTCTTCCATTCATGCATTGGCCCACATTGCACGTTAGATATACTATCACAGCTGTAAGTTTCTGATTTCAAACGAAATATAGTAACCAAAACAAATTAACTTTTTCCTTTCCTTTTGTTAGTACCAACTTCAGTTAGATCAACCTCTAATTTCTTTTCAATTAGTTTCTTCCCCTCTTTCAATACAATTTCTATAAATTTTCTGCATTCATTCGAGAAAGAAAAAAAATTTGGACGAGTTCAAATAAATTTTATTCTATAAATTCTGTTGCTATTGCATTATGAAAAGTGAGTTAAAGTAAAATTTGTTTTTTTAATCAAACAATTAGCGAAAATAAGAACTGTATTTTTCATTTAGTTACCAATTTTTGGAATTTTCATTTATTAGTTTCTCCAACAAACACACACTAATGTACATGGAAGGTCCTATCAAAATAATTTTCTTAAAAGTCAAACTACTATATTCATATATAGAGTAGGATCAATGGATATATAGCCTAATGCATGAGATTAGTCAATTAATATTTATATAATTCTTTATAACTCAATGTTTAACACTATGTGACTATTGTTTATCATGGTTGGTTGTGATCAGATTCACAGACTCAACAGCGTACCTCCTCCGAGACAGCAGCTGGAGTAGTTATAACTTCAGAAAGTTCAAATAGCCAAGGGAAGAACTAATAATATATATACCTGCTAAGTTTCAACTGTATAATCTTCAAATTAAATTCCATCACATTAATTCTTGATCTTTTTCCACATCATATCTTCATTTTTTTTGGTCCACACATGCTGTAGCTTTTAGGCAATAAGGCTCTCATCAGATTACTTGTGTTCTCCACAGCTACGGCATTCAAAAGTTGGACTAATCAACTTCATGGAGATTATCTTCATTCTCTTTTCCCTGTCTTCAAGGATTATCACTTTAATCGCTTTTAGTAGTTAATTCTATTATCTTTTAAGTTATATTTCCCTCCATTTCTAAGAGTTTAACCTATATGTCACATGATCAAATAGAGAAATCAAAGTCCCTAAATAAGAAATTTTGCATTTTATTGATATAGCAATCAGACCCTATGTTTATACCAGAGTTTGACCAATGTTTATTTTAGTCTAAAACTAATTTTAAGATGAAATAATTTTTAAATTAATAAAAATGATTTATGTAAATTTTTAATTTATTTTAAAATTTTCTTTCGATATAGGCTAAGGGAAATTTTCAGAGACGTGAGATGTTGCCGGCAATTTTTGATTTGTGCAATCTATTACTTCTTTCAATCCTAAATAGAATTGCAAAGCTTTTTTTCAAAAGTGGAATTTAAACGAAAAAAACAATAATTACATTTGCCTTATTTATAAGAAATTAAGAAATAATTTAAGACAAACAAAAAACAATTATAAATAATAAATTTATATTATATTTAAAAAATACTTATAAAATTAAATTGTCAAACTGATAAGTTATATATATTACAATGAGTAAGTACTCCATTAAAATAAATTTTTATAATAAATAAAAGTATAAAAAACTTAATAATTAATGAATCTTTATTTGTGATAATTAAGACTTAAAAATACTTATAGTTATTTTTTTATTAATGGGATACAAGTAATATGCCATAATAGAAGGACAAAAGAAAGCCCAAAAAAAAAAGTGAAGAAAACGACATTAATCAATAATTAATATTCAATTTGTAATTAAGGGATTTTTTTAAGAAATAAATATCTAACTATTGTTGATAAATTATTATTATTTATCAGGTCATATTAAATTTTTAATAAGTAAAATATTTTTTAAGAACTTAAGGTATGAGTTTTACTAACCTAGACTTGGTAAACCCTGTTTTATTCTCTCTTTTTTCCTGTTTTATTCTTTTCTTTTTTCTAATCAACATATATGATTATAAAAAAAAATGAAATTTATGAATCTAGTTAATCATAATATTATTTCACATTAAATACTTAGAAGAAGAGATTTGTTATCTATAATGATAGTTCAAATAAGGTTACCTTCTTTAGATCTTTATTTTTTTTTGTTTTTTTAAGATAATAATTGTCTTATAATTAAAAGAAAAAATTTAATTCTTTCTTGAAATTATAAAATAAAAATTATATTGAAAAAATAAAATTAAGTAAAAAAATTATTTTTTTAAAAAATAATAAAAAAATAAAATATTAAATTACATCGGTATAAGAAAAATGCTAACAATATATTTTTTAACACACTTTTTGTTAAGATGTTCCATATTGATTAGGAATAGAGATAAAATACTCCTTATAAGAGTTAAGGTAGTCTTCTTTAATTATTTGTTAAAATTTATTAAAAATTACAAAAAATATATATGTCAACTATTTTTTTATTATTAAATTAATATTTTTCTTTTATACTTTTTAATTTTTAATAAATTTTAATCTTTTAAAAATATATTATTAGCATTCTTCAACTGAAAAATAATTTTATTAAACTATTACGTTGTAAAGCAAGAGATTAATTAGAAATTGATCTAGCGCAACCAGACAAGCACAAGAAATTGTTATCATTAACGATGATGGAAGTTCCCGTAGCAACCCAGGGAATGCAGGCTTTGGCACCTTGCTCTAAAATTCTTCAGGTTCTTGGATTTGTGGCCTTTTGGGGGGCATTGGAATGTGCAACAATATATATGATGTTGAACTTTGTGCTGTTCTTCATGATCATGCTGTGACTTGGAATGAAGAATACAGGCACGTGATTTGATTAATTACAGGTACATCTCCTTAATCACGTCCATTTGTAGTTTGGTAGAAAAAGATTGATAAGGTATTGCTATCAGCTAAGAAAGATGCTCAGCATATTCAAAGCTTCTGGTTAATTACGAGGAACCCTTCTCTTGAATTATCTCTTAACCTCTTTGGATATAGCTTTTCTTGTTTGTAATTAGTTGTTTTCGTCTTCAATTCCTTGCAACCAAATAAAATCTAATATTTTAAAAATAAGTTATTGTGATATTTTTATTTATATCAATATTTTTTTTTCATAAGCATTGATATTTTATTAAAAATAAAATCAAAGTATATGTTTTAACTCATTATATTTCTGTAAAAAATTAATAATAGCTATTAAGAGATTATTCCGTTTCACTAATATTTAACACATTACTATTAAAAAAGATATTATTTTATTAAAACTAAATTCTACATATTACTATAAATTATATCATTGCAACTTCTTTTCATTTCTTGACATTACACAAATATCGTTACTTTTCTCAATATACAAACTTTTGCGTGATATTTGTACTAGACACAATTCTGAATTGCTATGTACAGTGAAGAAATTATAAATATAGTGATAAACAGATTGAATACTATTTGTAGTCTTTATTATTATCATACTTTCATATTAACATGTCATTAACATTTTCTTTCAATCTCTTACCTTCTATAATCTCCCACAACAGTTGTTATAAATCTTACTCTCATGAAAATAATTGTCTTTTTCAAACAATTTTTTATACTCATTGACTCATCTCGAATCGTTCATTATTCACCATCCATGTCTCTTTATTGGTCGTTGCTGAAAATAGTTGAATATGAATTCGTCAACGCAATATTTTCTATCCATTTATTTTTTCAAAAACCAAAGAAACAATCTTCGCCAATAACTTGTGTGACATTAAAATCTATCCGTTCATTAGCTTGCTTACAAACTTATAGCATGTCCTTCCACCAATCTAAAGCATTATGAGTTATTTTCAAAGAAACTAACATATCAATACATGATCCATACTGCGCTCTTAGCATATTAAAATATGAGTTTGGAAACTTCAATATTCTTAAACTCATTTATCCAATAAGTTCCAATTAACTTATGCATACTCTTTTTTATTTAACCCAAACTATTTTTTATGATTCTTTTGTGTCACTCCAAAAAACCAATGTTAAATCTTTACTACTTCCTAATACAAAAGCGTAAAAATAAAAATATCTTAAAATATATTTAAAAGTTTTCAAATTTTCTATAAATTATCTAACATACATATTTTACGTGGGTATGATTATTATTTTTGAAGTATTTGTGTTTTTCCCAACATATTTACTTCAAGAATGTATTAGTAGGGCTCTTCAAAGAAAGGAAATGAGAAAATAACAATGATATTTTAATTAAATATATTTAATTTATTTTTTAAAATAGAAATAATAAATAATATATTAATATAAATTTATGTATTAATTAATTATTTATTATTATAAAAATATATAATTCATTTAATTTAAAAATTAAAAATTAAAAATTATTTTTTTCAAAAATTTTCTTTCAAATAACTCTTTAAGATATGTTCTAGTTTTATTATGGTTTAAAAATAAATTATAAAATAATAAATTAGAATAATTTTTTTATAAATATTATATAACTCTTTATATTTGGAAAAAAAAATTTAATTTTCTCCTTCTTCCTTTTTTTTTTTTTTTTTCAAAATTCAACTCCAAATATATCCTTAAAGAATAGGAGATGGGAGGAGACAATGGTGTTTATGGCCTAGTTTAGAATTTTTTTATTTCAATTTATTAAAACTTTTTACCTATAAAATCATATTGTTAAATTTTTTTAAGGTAAACATGTTGAATTTTATTATGTATAGATAAGTGTTTATGAAAAAAGAATTAAATAATATTAAAATAATAAGTGTAACTGCAAAAATTTCATATATATCAAATAAGAATGAGTAAATTGAGTAATATGTACACGGGAAAAAAAATTCATCACCTAATATCTTATGAACTTGGACTAGTGTAATGTCCAATCGCCTTATGTAGTTTATTTGTGGATAATGAAACTTTTAAAATGATTATATTACATAGAATAATTTTTATAATATTTATTAAAAATTTATTCAAACTGATTATCAAATGTAATTGAAATACTGGTGATCAGTACTGGCGTAAATGGGTAGTTTACTTTAATTACATAAAGAAAATATAATAGTTTAATATTAATTGCAACTATTTTAGGAAAATTATTTCCTTTATCAACTTGTAAACCCATTATGATTTTACTTATATATATATATATATATATATATATATATATATATATATATATATATATCGGGTGTTTGTTACTGTTTGAGTAAAATTATTCATGTTAATATAAGGAAAAGCAAATGCATATCTCTACACGTCATAGGTCAAATCATTCTCTATTTATAGCCAATGTTCTAAATCTAACGTAACATTTATAATCGCAAGGCATGAACCGATAAGAACAAGAGCTTTTTTTAGTGGATCCATCAGATTTATAGATTATGATCCTGGACACATCAGTTCGTAAGAATTTATCTCCTCTAAATTGACGAGATATATATGTAAAATAATAATTTATCTGATCAAAGCTGTTTTACTCCATATTTTTATGAGTTTTATTTTTAATTTTCAACAAATTTTAACTAATAGAATATAACATGTGTAAAGCATAATTAATAATAAAATAATTATTTGACATATCTTAAGAGATGTACTTGTTCGGAAAAGAATAATAAATAAGGAAGAAAGATAAATAATAAAAGGGATGTGGTCAAAATAAGTGTGAAATATAAAATTGAAGCTTCAGAAGAATATTGGTTGGGTTTGACTTGATTCGACTTATTTATTTACCCACTCACATTTGACGTTTATTCGGTGGTCAATTCCACCCATTAAAC